CCTTCTTCGGCGAGGCCTTCTTGGGCGGAACGGCAGCGTCAGACATGTTTTGCGTTCTTAAATTCCTTTCGTGCACTCTCAGCAGGATCTTCACCAAACACAAAGACAAAACACAGGGAACGGGCAGGAGGAGCAGTGAGCGGACAGCACGCGGCACGAGAAATCGCACCAAAACAACACGGTAAGAAGAATGGGCACAAAGGGCAGACCACCACAAACACGCCCTTCAGGTTCTCTATAGTGCTTTTCCACAGCACCGTCGCGAATGCACACACGGAAGAAGGGCTGCTGCAGCCCCCAGCACTGGGGATGAGAAACAAAAACAAACAAAAATAAAAACGAAACAAAAGTTCTAGTAATGGAAAAACGGGCATGACGTCGTCTCCACCGGTGACAAGTTCATATCGTTATCTACCAGGTGCGCCAGCGACACGGATCGCGACAACGCACGGTTGAACCAAAATAAATCCCTACTTCTTCTTCGGCGCCTTCTTCACGGCTTTCTTGGGTGCCTTCTTTGCCGCATGCTTCTTGGCACTCTTATTAACAGCTTTCTTGGCTGCTGCAGGCTTCTTCTTGGGGGCGGCCCTCTTCTTCGCAGCAGGCTTCTTCACGGCTGGTTTCTTAGCAGTCTTCTTGGCGGCAGGCTTCTTAGCCGCTGCCTTCTTCGGCGAGGCCTTCTTGGGCGGAACGGCAGCGTCAGACATGTTTTGCGTTCTTAAATTCCTTTCGTGCACTCTCAGCAGGATCTTCACCAAACACAAAGACAAAACACAGGGAAGGGGCAGGAGGAGCAGTGAGCGGGCAGCACGCGGCACGAGAAATCGCACCAAAACAACACGGTAAGAAGAATGGGCACAAAGGACAGACCACCACAAACACGCCCTTCAGGTTCTCTATAGTGCTTTTCCACAGCACCGTCGCGAATGCACACACGGAAGAAGGGCTGCTGCAGCCCCCAGCACTGGGGATGAGAAACAAAAACAAACAAAAATAAAAACGAAACAAGAGTTCTAGTAATGGAAAAACGGGCATGACGTCGTCTCCACCGGTGACAAGTTCATATCGTTATCTACCAGGTGCGCCAGCGACACGGATCGCGAGAACGCACGGTTGAGCCAAAATAAATCCCTACTTCTTCGGCGCCTTCTTCACGGCTTTCTTGGGTGCCTTCTTTGCCGCATGCTTCTTGGCACTCTTTGTAACAGCCTTCTTGGCTGCTGCAGGCTTCTTCTTGGGGGCGGCCCTCTTCTTCGCAGCAGGCTTCTTCACGGCTGGTTTCTTAGCAGTCTTCTTGACGGGAGTCTTCTTAGCCACTGCCTTCTTCGGCGCGGCCTTCTTCGGCGAGGCCTTCTTGGGCGGAACGGCAGCGTCAGACATGTTGGACCTATTGGATGTTTTTCTTTTCTTGCTGTTGTTGTTATTCTTTTCTAGTTTGAATGACAAGGGTTATAGTAAGGAAACGGTGCGCTGTTTTTTTTTTTTTTTTTTTTTTTTTTTTTTTGGTGGTTGTTAAGCAGTATTAACTTGAACAAATTAGGTGTATAATACTTATTGCCAATTGTTTATATTAAGAAATAATAAGAACATTTCTTGTGTCTTTGCTTAGCGGTATGTCTGGCATGATAATCCTTTTTGGCCTCATAGATTTGTCAAGTGATGGTATAAAAAAAAATTTCTTTTTTTTTTCGGCTTTATTTGTGTTTGTTTTATTGTCTGTTTTTCTTCTTTCCTTTGTTTGGTCAATGCTTTTTAATTATCGCCATCGTACACTTGAATGATGTCATGTGAGGGCCAGATGCGAGCCATTCCATCCTCTGCGCCCGAAGCGAATGACTTTCCATCTGGTGCCCAGCGAATGTGGAAAATAGGTCCGTGATGACCTCTGTGAGATTCTAGTTCAGCACCGTCTAGCGTGAACTCCTTTGCCTTGAGTTTCGAGCCTGCCGCCACGTTCTGTCCGTTTGGTGAAAGCGATGCGCATTCCACGTCTTCGTTGGTGGTAAATGAGCTCTTAATTTCTAACGTAGTGGTGTCAATGAATGAAACGCTTTTCTCATGGGCTGCGACAATGCAGTGGTGATGGGTGTACTCAAGAAAGTTAAGACCGGGGATTTCCTTCCTTAGGTAGGGACGAGATGTATCACGAAGGTCCCATTTCATAATGACGTTTTCACAGGCCGTTACCATTGTTGTGGGGTCAATAAAATAAGTTGATTTTACCTGATTTACCTTTTCTGGGCTGTCAAAGCTAAGCGGCTCGGCATTATAATCATTGGCATCAAAAATACGGACTAAACCATCAAAGCACCCAGTGGCAATTTTGTTTTCGATCCAATCACAGGATTTTATGTATTTTGGATGGCTCCACGTATGCAGCTTTTCTCCAGTAATTGCATTCCATATCATTGAAGAATAATCACCACTCCCTGTTACCAAACGAGTGGCATCTTGGTTGAACACTGAACAGTACACCGCGCCTTTATGGCCCTCAAAAGTGCCAACCCAGTCACCTGTTTCACCATTACGCAGCATAGGTTTGGCATCGTGACAAGAGGTAACAAACCAAAATGTTCCATCAATTATTTCGCTGTAGTTAATGTGGCAAATGGGTCTCGTATGACCAGAGCATATCTTCACCTTTGTGATATCGGTATTAACATTATTAGTCACCGCAATCTCCTTTTTCTGTGCTCCAGAGGCTTTTTCCGGTGCACTGTACTTGTTGCTCATCCTTTCCAAGGAAATATCTACCTTTGAATTATTTTGGCGTTCGTTTTTTTTTTTTTTTGCCACTCTTGCGTCCACAACTCTATTTGTACTGTATTCCTTCAACTGTTTACCTCATCGTTCCCAAACAATAATAAACATAATAAAAGATAGAGCATAAACGTTTTTTCCTGATACAAAAAAAGAAATCAGATTGTACACACACACAATTAAGGTGCTTGATAACAATCTTAAGTAAACAACAAACAAGAATCAGAATAAGAGGCAATCTTACTTTTCTTGTTTCTGTGTTTGTTCGTTCATTCCCCTTTTTATTCTTAATATCTATTATTACGCAACAAAATATTATGGCGTCCTTAGAAATAATAATAATAATAATAATAATAATAAGTAAATGGCTAGATTGTTTCTCCGGTCATAAAACAATTTTTGATGTTTCCTCATAAAATCATTTGGTTATTGTCCGCATTGTTATGAGAAAACACAGAGAGGAAGAAACCCGTTTCTATTGTGTTCTTCTGCGTGGAACAGCCCGAAGAACATCATCCACACGAAGAATCATTTCCGCAGCTTCTGCAGCATAGCCCAACACCGAGTTCTTGACCTTGAAAGATTCTGTGATACCGAGTGCTTTCACGTCGGCCACGTCACCCTTCACAACATCAATACCAAAAGTATTGTTTCCTTGGTAATGTGCCGCTTGTAATCGAGTAACCAAGTCATTACTGTCTAGACCGGCATTATCGGCGATGATGGCTGGGAGAGTGCAAAGGGCATTGGCAAAAGCAAGCATTGCAAGCTGTCTCTTACCCGGTGTTTTCTTTGCTCTTTCCTCTACCGCTCGTGCCATCACAAACTCCGAACATCCTGCTCCCAATACTGTCCGGGTTTCATTTATGGTTTGTGAAATAACACAAAGTGCATCATGAATAGAACGCTCTGCTTCATCCAAAATATGTTGTGATGTTCCACGAACAACAATAGTACATGCCTCACCCTGAGGAAGACCAGAAAAACGAATGACTGTGCTTTCACCAATCATAATTTCATCAATTTTCTGTGCAAACCCATATTTAACTTTTTCTGTTTCGTCAAATTGAGAAAGCACATCAGCCCCAAGAGCTTTGGCAAGTCGCTCAATTCCTTCAAAGTCCGCATGTTCGATGGCCATAATGTCATGCTGAGCAAAAATTTCCTCCGGATAATTATAGATCAGCTGGCGGTTGATAAAACAATTAATGTCATGTTTAATTATTTTCATGCATTTGTTTTTCATTTTTTCTTTTTCCGAAGCCTCCACTTCCGCAAGCTGCGCTACGCTATCGACACGCACCTTGGCTCCAAATATCTTAATTTTGTCGGTATCCATGGGAGTATTGGCAACCAATATCTTTGCGTTTTCAAGGTAACGAGGTTGACCAATACCAATTTTCTTATCCAACAAGAAACCCGGTTCAAGATAGCTGTCGCCAAGAGTCCCTCCAAGTTTTTTCATAATGTTAATCATCTCAAGGTTTCCACTTCCCCTCAACCGTAACACGGCATCCACACAAAGTTTGGCGAAATGATCCTTTTCAACCGTAATGATTTTGGAGCTCAATGTCGTTTTTGCAATGCGCAAAAGATCATCGTAGAACATTTTTTCATCATGACCGTGATCTTCAGCTGATGCAACAAGAGCCTCACGGGCTACATGAGTAGCAAGGCGGTATCCTTCAATAATAGTTTGTGGATGAATAGATTGATCAAGGAGTTTTTCGGCATTGCGAAGGAGTTCACCAGCAAGTACAGTTACACTGGTTGTACCATCTCCAACTTCATCATCCTGAGTTTTACTCATGTCAATCAAAATCTTTCCTGCCGGATTATCCATAAAAAGCGACTTTAGAATAGTGGCACCGTCGTTTGTTACACGTACACTTTGAGTGCGATCCATACCCTGAAGAATTTTGTCCATGCCTTTGGGGCCCAATGTTGTTTTTACGATATCTGCAACAGAAATAGCACCCATAATATTCATCAAACGCGCGCGCTCTCCCTTCTCCTCCGACGCTCCTTCTCGAAGCACTTGCTGTGCCTGATTTGCAAAAAGCATTGTTATTTATTGTAGCTTATTTCTGATTTAAAATAAATCCCTACGATATATATATATATATTACAAGAAAAAAAAAAAAAAAAAAAAATGTTATATTTCCAAAAACATAAATAAATATATATATGGTTAATGAAATCATTTCCGTTTCATGAAAGTAAATTTACAGAAAAAACATTCATCCAAAACTTTTTTTTCTAATTATTTTTGGAACAATATATATATAATCATTAAGAAAACAGTCAAAATGCATTCTCAGCAAATAACAACTACTTATTTATTTCGCTTCTTGAAACTCATATGGAAAACACCAATAATAAAAAAATTTTTTTTAATAATACTAATAATAACAATAATAATAATACATCCGCAGTAATTAAAAAAAGATTGCATTTTACCTTTACACTTTTGTTATATATATATATATATATATATATAACTATTCCACATGCACAATTATATTCAAGTGATGTGATCCAGTCTCTGCCTTAAAAAAATTCCTCATGAAATGTGTGACTGAAAAACGTATTTTGCCGTGATCAGCTCGAGCACGTGCTAACACCCTTATCGCACAATATGCCGATTCGTTAGGTGCGGTTGAATGAGGCCATGCACAAATATTTTCTACTGAATTTACATCTTCAATGTCCTTGATGCCAGCAATAGCTTTCTTTAAAAAATTTTCCTCGTCATATGGATGTCCACCCAAAAGAAGTACCTTTCCGGTTTCTTCCAAAAGAGGGAAGGCTGAAAGAGCTATAAATACACAACTAAGAAGACTGCATATCGGATCAACAATTTTCATACCGGTAAGAGAAATTACTATACTTGATATCATAACATTTATACTACCCACAAGATCCGCCAATATATGCAAGTAAATCCCTCTCAAATTATGATCCACAGAACCCGAACATCCATCATGGGGATGGGAGTGAGAACCCACACCGTGGAAAAATGCGACACCAACAATGTTTACAATTAGACCAACAACAGAAACATGTATTAGATACGCAGCGTTAATATCAGGGGGATTCATTATTCTTTCCACCGATTCGACTACAACAAACAATGCTATAAAAAGTAAAAGCACAGCATTAATAAATCCCCCCAAAACTCTATATCGAGCATAGCCAAATGGATGTGTCATTTTATCACTAGCTAACGACGAAACAAAAGCTGCAAATAAACCAACTGCAATTGATACCGAGTCTAATAGCATATGAAAAGAATCTGAGACTAAGCCCAAAGAATTAGCTGAAATACCATAAAGTAGTTCGAGGACCATCACAGCTACCGTAAGAAGAAAAAAAGAAAATAACCTTCTCTCACGCTCCCCTTGAAAAAAGTAATTAAACGCATCGCCAACAAATGCTAAAGCACCTTTCCGGTTCGTTAAAAAAGATGAAGGCTCCAATAAAGTCAGTCCATTATTATAATACATTGAATTCAGAGAACATATCAGAAATATACAAGCACTGATCATAGCTAAAAAATCACCATAGTCAAGAGTCCCAAAACCAATATTCAAAATACAGCCTCCTAAAAGAAGCACCAAACCCTCATTCACAGCAAAAGTCACGGGTGTAGCTCCAAATCTTAAGTCAAATAGTGCTTTTCCACACCCCGAAATAATGGAAAGTAATGGAAACAAAAGCCATGGATAGGAAGAAACAAAAGTTGTATCAACAAAAAAAAACATCCAACCAAAAAAGGACAACTCTACAGATGCAAACACCTGCTCAAAAAACCTCAGCCAAGAATTATTCTCCCTGAAACAATGAAACTCAAAAAAATTTGCCAAAATCACAGAGAGAACTAATCCAGCAAGCGCAAAAGTCAAGAGTGAAATATCCCCATTCTTCTTAATCAAAATCCCCAGGAACAGGAGAAGTGTACTGAGTGTAGAGACTCCAAACCAAGTCAACTTATTTCTCAGGTTCTCGGCTTGCAAGTATTTCCCTTGAAGTACAAAAGCACAGTAAAATAATATTGAAAAAATAGGCTCAATTTCTTTTAAAATATACAATAAAAAACCACAAATATAAGCTCTAAAAGTTCCCATTAAAATTGCATAAAAAAAATGTAAAACAAAACAATTGTAAACGTCTCTGGCGTTTTCCCTAATCTGCACTAGATGTATCAATGCCTCACCCATAGAAACCAAACCCCCAACCCATAAGAAGTGAGCCTGGGAATTTTTAAGAATAAAACTTTGTGCCAGGATTGTTCCGGCAAATCCAGCAGCAACGACAAAAGATAGCATAAAGTACTTCACTTCCTTATTAGACCTTTCTATTTTTTTGCTGTTGTTGCTACTGGTAAAGTTCCACCCAATTTTCTAGCACCAAAAAAATCTTAGAATAAGAAATCCTTTCGAAAAACAAAAAAAAAATTAATGAAATGGATTCAAAAAAGCAAGAAGTACCCCCAAAAAACAAGTATTGCTTCTCAAAACATAAAAAAAAAAGATTGTGTATAAAGAAATACACTCTTTAAGCACAAACAATATACAACAAGAAGAATTTTCAGCCTTTTACACCCATTTTCTTTCCTCAAAAAAAAAAAAAAAAGGAAAAAACTGCATTTGTTAAAGCAAACCGGGCCGCCGCCTTGCCGGCGTGTCCCCATGCTGGCTTCGACGACAACCCCGAAGCACACACCAACAAAATGCCACCCACCCTCCCCCAGACCTCCGCAACCACAGCTTGAACTCGAAGGCGCGGTGCGGCCAAGCGGTGCGCGCGACAGTTGTCGGCCTTTCATTTCAACCCGGACAACGCCGCCACCCCTCTTGTCGCCTTGATTTTGGCGCCCTGCCAGAATCTGTGGTGCTTTTCTTTTTGTCTGCCGCTTCGCGCGCCCACGGCGACGAGAACGGTGGAGTCTTTTTTTTTTTTTTGCTTCTAGGAGCTTGTGAAAAGAATGATCGTGGGAGAGCTGGCCAACCCTAATGAATGCATATATGTATGTATCCCTGCCAAAACGAACACGCACTTTTTTATGACGCTTTTTCCGTCCTATGAATTTTGGGCAGGCCACGACTTTAAGGCCATCAGGGGAAATTGACGTGTAGAGGACTTTAGTTATTTTATTTCATGTTTACAGACACAGCGAGGTTGGTTTAAGGAAATGGCATTGGCTTGTTTTACTCGGCCTCCCAGTCCAGCGATATTGGTGTCCCTATTTCAGAATTGGTACGCCAGCATGGCGCTATCCAGGTGCAGCTCACCGTTGTGGATGAAAACAGCCCGTCGGATGCAACGTTAACAGTGGCCACCCCGATGGCAGGCTTGCGCTTGATTTTGGGAAACATCGCCAATCACAGGGAGGATTCGAGCCTTACAGGACATATTGCGAATCGCCGGGCGCCTCAAGTATTAAATTTTGAGACTCAATCGCTCCTGCCCATTGTGTGGGAGCGGCCCGGGAGTTGAGGGTCCAGCAAGGGGCTCGTAATTCCTGAAAGGGATCGCTTGAGCACGGACCACGCCCACACCGTCGCGGACGTGCGGAATGGAAGCGCCCGGCTTAAGTCGCAGGTGGAAGAGGCGCATAATAGCACCCTATCGGCGTGCGAATGTCGCATTGCGGTTGCCGACGGCCTTCTTGCAGAACGGGAATACGCGCTCGCCGGACGCGAACGGCAAGTGGAGGCTAACCGCGCCCAACTACAGGAACGAGAGGCACGCGTTAGCGCAAGAGGAGCGCGGCGAACCGTTACGCACGGCCCAACGAAGTCCGGCGCGAGAGAGACGGCAGGTTATTCTCCAGGCGTCTCAGGGTGATTTTGGGTGGTCACATTTCCGTCTTTCCACGCTTTTACCTTCCCGCACCTTCCCTTGGACGCCCATTCTGGCACAGAAGAAGAGGAACGGTGTTTTCCCGCTTTCGACGCCACCACTTGGGCCACGCGTGTTTGGAATGAGAGCGTTTCCGGAGTCGTTGTCGACCTTCGGGGCGCATACGATTGTTGGCAACAGGCGGAAGGCCACGCTCAATTTGCCTTTGACAATTTGGTCGAGTGGATCGGCGTGCTGGGAGCGGAGCGGGATCCCACCGATCAGTTCATGGATTCAGGCAGGTCCCTACTGAATACATTCCGGAGGCAGCTCACGATCGCAACCGAACATAGCATCCGGCTTTCCAAACCGCGCGCCCGTCTTTACACTGCCGCACATGAAGCTGACGCCTTTGCGGGGGCAGCCCAGCTTCTCGCGGAACGGCGAGGGACGCAACGATTGTCGTGATGCCGGTTGTGTCGCATTTGTGGGCACGAAGCGTCTACATGCAACGCCCGAGGCGCACCCAGAATAATTTACTCGCAGCGCGGATGGCCGTGAAAAAGCGGCGGAGGGGCCGCCCGCTGCCTATGAAGGCGGACGACAGCAGCCTCATCCGTTCCACCGCCTCCCACCATCCGCACCGCACCACCGATGCTTCATCCGGACTTTCGAATTGCCCGACGCAATCGTCGAGAAGGGCAATGGCGCTTATCCGCTACCGACGCTCGACTGTGGTACGACGAAACACCGACAGTTCCGCCGCGGGCCAGGCACAGGAGGAGGGCGAACGAGGCGGCTCGAGAGATGCGTGCCCCGCCAGCGTGGGAGCAGGCAATGTCTCTAGCGGGGCAATTCGCAACCTTTTGCCGCACGCACGAACAGCGGATCAGCGAGGAGAGCCGCGTGACCTTTTTGATGGCTGTGCTAGATGTGGCGCCATGGACCAGACCGCAGTACGCCAGGATGCTGCGGTCCATGTTGCAAATGAATCGGGCCCCGCTGGACATGGTGATTCTGGGGTTGCAAAAAATCGCGGCGCGATCGGAAAAGAAGCAGGTCCGCTCATCGACAAAGAAAGGGACCGAGGAATGTATCCGCAGCCTGGCCGATTGGAAGGAACGGGTTGTTTTTCGACTTGCGTGGATGACTGCGAGATGTTGGTTTGAGATTGCAGCCTTAACTCCCAACAATTTCACACTGGAGCCGGACGGTACCTTG